CCCAAGTGCCAATCTTCACTGACAAAAAGGCTCTTCATGTGAGAGGGCATGCATGGTATGGAGGTGCTGTGGCAACCACTTTGGCTGTAGGGGTCATGAAGCTTACGTTCTGGATCCAGGACTTTGGGTCATAAATAATAAACCGAACTCAAAATTATTTAGGTAAAAAAAAAAGAATCTGTTCTACATGATACTGGGTGTCTTTTTTTTTTTCAATGTTTTATTTATTTCTGACAGAGAGAAAGAAACAGCGTGAGCAGGGGAGGGTCACAGAGAGAGGGAGACAGAGAATCTGAAGCAGGCCCTAGGCTCTGAGCTAGCTGTCAGCACAGAGTCCGACGCGGGGCTTGAACCCAAAAACCGTGTGATCATGACCTGAGCCAAAGCCAGACGCTTAACCAACTGAGCCACCCAGGCGCCCTGATACTGAGTATCTTAAAGAATGAAAAGCAAAGGGAAATGCCTGTATTCAGTAAGGGCTGAGATGTAACAAAGCATAAGGAAATTCTTGGGGCACCTGGGTGACTCAGTCGGTTGAGCATCTGACTCTTCATTTCAGCTCAGGTCATGGGATCTCAGGGTCATGAGCTCGAACCCCACATCAGGCTCTGTGCTGACAGTGGAGACTGCTTGGATTCTCTCTCTCTCTCCCTCCCTCTCCCTAGCCCTCTCCCTCTCCCTCACTCTCTCCTTCCGCTCTTCCCCTCGACCCCCACCTCTGCAAAATTAAAATAAAGAGTGTTTAAAAATGAAAGAAAGAAAAAGAGCTGCTGGTGGCAGGATCATACTCACAGTATGAGATCTTCTCTTCTCCATCTTGCTTCTGTGCTTCCCTGAATGGTAGCTTCCTTCTTTCTTATCACTGCAGATTGACCTCCTCCAAATGACAGGAAACATGAATACCATCGACATGATAGCTTTGTTATCTTACAGCATCAACTACACAGGGCGAGACTGATGTTTTCCGTTCTAATTCCCAAATCCTGAAGAACTCTGCTAGGTCTAGCTTGGATCTGATTAACTGGGGCAAAGAGGTGGAATACCATTTGGATCCATTGGTGAGATGCCCATTCAATGGCTGCCTACAAGCAGTGTCATACTGTGCTAATGTGTTGCTTCCCATGTTTCAAAAAGTTGGGTGGGACAGTTCTCAACAGAAGAGGTGCCGGCCTGACTAATCTGTAGATGTCCACTATTGCATGGATATACTGTGCAAACAATGTAAGGAAATAGATCCAGCTTCCCATTTGCCAGCAAAAAATGGTCCTTAAGAATTTCCCATTGAAACTGTTCATTCACTGTTAGAAAGTTTAGGATGCTGGGATGGCTGGAGGCGGTGGGGGTGGGGGGGATGATTACACATGAAAGGAACCGAACAGAGAGAAGGGAAGGAGAGCGCATCAAGAAAGCATTGCCAACTTGAAGCAGAGGGCTCTGGACCTCCCAGCTCTTTTCAGATTAAATCCTTATGGTTCTCCCAGCTGCCTCTCTTCCCTCCTGCCTTACACCTCTTTTTAATATTTTCTCCCATCATTTTTAAAATGAAGACCTTCTGTGTTACTTACAAGATTTCTGTCCTCTTTCAGAGAAGCAGTGCTCTACTTTAGGCAAAAGTTTGAAGTAAGGTAGGGTTTTCTCTTCAGGAAAGCACTTTCTCATGGCCTCCTGTTATTTTTCTTAGAACCACAAAATCTGGGGGTTGGGATGGACCCATCTTGAGCCAGCAAGTCCATCCGTTGTTGTGTATTTCCCATCTCCGTCATCCATGACAAGTGGCCATCCAGACTGCTTGACCACATACCATGAAAGAGAATTCATCATTTTTCAGGAGAGACCATGCTATCTCCAGATAATTCTGATTATAGGAGTACCTCCTTATATTAAGCTCCTACTTGGCCAATAATTTATCTTTTTTGTTTCCACCTGTTGGTTCTAGTTCTACCGCCAGAAACAAACAGAAAAGTCAGGTCTCTTCCCTGCACACTCACCTTCCAAGAGATCATCATATTCATCATGTTTCTCCCCATGATTGTTCTTCTCCAGGCTGAGCAACTGTTCTTCCTACAACTGTTCTCCGTTTTATGGGCTTTCAAGTACCTCTGTTATTAACGGAAACGCTCAGTTCTGGAAGCATTACTAACTTAAATGTTCTTCTTAAGTTTTCCCCCAAAACCAGGCATAATCTTCCAGACATGGAAAAACCAGCACAGAAAGAACAGAACTAATAATATCTTTCATTATAAAGATAGAAATTATGTTCAGGAAAATCACACTTATCTTCTGGGAAGACCAAACCTATGCTTAGTCACTCTCATGCTGAAAATTATGTGATAATTAATTTATAATGAAATTTAAATGGTAAAGAGTGGTTAAATTGTATAAGTGAATTTCAGGCATCAGTAGGTGAAATTGGAATGGAAAGGAGGTGGGAGTATGAATTCCCATAGTTCTTCAAATCACATATCTGCTTTACTTCCTATTCATAAATCTAGCACTATCCAGTAAGTCAAAAATAGAGGTTAGATAGGGCACCTGGGTAGCTCAGTCATTTGAGCATCTGACTCTTGATTTCGGCTCAGGTCATGAGCTCATGGTTTGTGGGTTTGAGCCTGTCTTTGGGCTCTGTGCTGGAGGCATGGATTAGGATTCTCTCTCTCACTCTCACTGCCCCTCTCACTCTCTCTCTCTCTGCCCCTCCCCTGCTCATGCTCACTCTCCCTCTCTTTCTCTCTCTCTCAAAAACAATTAAACTTTTTTTTAAAAAACTGAGTGTAAAGTAAGCCCATATCAGGGGATGATTTTGATTCCTTTCTTCCTCTTTATGAAATCCATATGCTTAACAAACATTTGTGTCCTGGTTACATATACACACAGAGAGAAGGACTCGGGGGCTAAGCACACTAATGCACAGTCAGTTCTCAAGGAGCTAACAATTTAGAAGCTGTAAAACAAGCCCTTTGCTTTCCTAATTGAAGTATGCTGTTTAAGCCAGTGAGTCAAGGAAGAGCAAGAGTTCACCATATTGGTTTGGGTGGCAAAGTGGATTAGGCTCAATAATTTAACTTCCTTGTTCCAGAAGCTCAGCTGGAAGCAGAACCCAATGTAAGAAAGTTGGAGTGAGGGGTGCCTGGGTGGTTCAGTTGGTTAAGCCTTAGACTCTTGGTTTTCTGCTCAGGTCATGCTCTCACAGTTTTGGGAGTTTGAGTCCCAAGTGGGGCTCAGCACTGGCAGCACACAGCCTGCTTGGGATTCTCTCTCTCACCCTCTCTCTGCCCCTCCCCTACTTGCACTGCCTCTGTGTCTTTCAAAATAAATAAACTTTAAAAAAATAAAGAGAGAGGGGCGCCCGGGTGGCTTAGTCGGTTAAGTGTCCGACTTTCACTCAGGTCATGATCTCGCGATTCGTGGGTTCGATCCCCACGTTGGGCTCTGTGCTGACTGCCAGCTCAGAGCCTGGAGCCTGTTTCGGAGTCTGTCACTCCCTCTCTCTCTGACCCTCCCCTGCTCACGCTATCTCTCTCTCTCCTAGAAATAAATAAAATATTAAAAAAAAAAAAAGAAATAAATAAAGCATTTTAAAAAAATAATAAATAAATAAATAGAGAGAGAGAAAGTTGCAGTACAGCTTGAGGGGTCGATCAAAGATGCTCCAGCCCCATGTTAAATGGACATCCTAAAATGCACACACTGAGTCCTGCCTTTTTCATATATGGGTTCATCAAGAAGACTGATTATCAGGGCACCTGGGCAGCTTAGCCAGTTAAGCCTCGACTTCCACTCAGGTCATGATTTCGTGGGTTCGGTCCCCACCTCGGGCTCTGTGCTGACAGCTCAAAGCCTGGAGCCTGCTTCAGATTCTGTGTCTCCCTCTCTTCTCTGCTACCTCTGCTACTCATGCTTGCTCGCTTTCTTTCTCTCTCTCTCTCTCTCTCAAAAATGAATAAACATTAAAAAATATTTTTTCAAAAAGAAAGAAAACTGATTATCTCAGAAGATAATGAGAAATATTCTATTTATGGGTTTCAGGTTTAAAGTGAGTACATGGCATGGGTACCTGGCTGGCTCAGTCGGTGGGGCACCTGACCCTTGATCCTAGGGTCGTGAGTTCAGACCCCATGTTGGATGTGAAGCCTACTTAAAAAGAAAACAGAAAACAGAAAAAAATGAATGTATGGCATATATATTTTTTCTAGGGCAGACAAAATTAAAAATTTTGGATCTTAAACCCTAATATGAAATAAATGGTGACATTTTATGAACCTTATAATAAGCATATGGCACTTGTTCTTGGTTTTGTTTTTTTGCACATGTTTCTAAAAAGTTGAATATATGCACATCCCTCAACATTGGCAACAATAGTCATCCCAGGTACTGTTAAGACTGCATGTCAGTAAGCAAGTTTGACATTTCGTCTGTCAGCAACATATGTCCCTGACCTTCTATCTCCATCAAGCAAGCTAAAGAATTATGACTAACTCAAGACAGGGCTGGGAGCCCAGGTTTCATGGCCATAGAGCTTGTTAGTTCCTCTGTGTTAGTGAGGCAAAAACTAAGGATTTGTGTCCCTTGCTAGCTCAGGAATTTCTAGTCTAGTGGGCTCAGGTCTCGGGTATTACTCTAACCTCAATTGGTTAAAAGGGAGGAAATGCAAAGCTGTTGGACAGCTTGAAGCTACCTACCATACAACTGAGGAAAAAAATTCAAGATTGCTTAGTGTGAGGAAGGTCAAGTTCATCCTCAAGGTACAACTCGTTGTGTTTAGCAATGTACCTAGGGGATTCCAGTCTCAGTATTATTTATTCTTCTGAATTTCATAGTGCTAAAAAATTCAGAATTTATAATCTCTGCACTTTAGAATTAAAACAACCAAGGACTTCATGATTGGTGTGCTACATTGAATAATTGGGAATACTTTAAGATTAGTTGTTTTGTCCATAAACAAAGGCAGAATTACCTATTGCCTGGTTCCTTTACGTAAAATCTTTTTATTTCTCCAATAGGGTGTTCGGTTTTTACAAGGGAATTCTGCCACCCATCTTGGCTGAAACACCAAAAAGAGCAGTGAAGGTAAGCACTGTTTACATTGCCACCAAGTGAAAGTAGACTGCAGTAACACCTTCAGCCCTAAAAAATCCCGTAACAAACTACCGGACATTAATGTGTATTGAACATAAGACAGTAAAAATTTTAATGTGGAAATTATAGCATAACTTTTATGCTAATCAGGCATGGTCACTCTCTCAAATATTGGTTTGTGGATTTTTTTTCAGGTAAAGGCACTCCCTTTTGATGAGGAAATTATACAAAAAGTACAGTGGTGAATGAAATTCATGTAATTGAACCACAGCAGCCACAAAATAGCTTGGACTTTTTCTCAAAGCAATTCATAAATTTTCCTTGGGAGCAATAATTATTAGAGAGAGAGGGAGAGGAGGGAATAGTGGCGGAAAAACCTTTTTCCCCTAAACGAGTTCTGTTTTATGAACAGAGCAAACTAATACGGTGTATTTCTTTGTATATGATTCTTGTATAACACATTTATTTGGCATGCTAACTTCATTTCCTCCCCACCTCCCAACCCCAGTCTCCTCTGTTAAAATTCTCTATTCTGGTTTTTACAAAATTATTACTTCCACTACGCTGATTTCCATTCTTTAACCACATAACCTTGGAGGTTTATGTACTACTTACTGGTTCGGTATCTGGTTGGGAACATGGAGATCTGGCAAGACCCCCAGGGAAGAAAGAACTAAATCTGCTCAGTCTTTGATATATTCTCTTGGATAGAAGTCCTGGTCACAGCGACTTTGGCTGGGAGTGCCCCCTCCCCATGCCAGTGACATCACCAAATATGACTTTGTCTTTCCATAAGAAGGATAACACACACTTAGGCCAAAAGACTTCCTTCCCAACTAATGACATAAAACTTTTTTCACGTACATTATTCAATAGGTATTCCTAATATTCCCGAAAGGTAAGGAGGGACAATTTATATACTTTTACTCTATAGCTTAGGAGGGTAAGTTAACATTTATGAGAAAATAACAGTCACCAAACTTTTACATTATGTCAAAATAGTAATTTCATAGGATTTCCTTCAGGTCTAGAATTCAGAAAACAAAGCTTTAAAACATACTTTCTCTATAAATTCATCCTCTCTGTTGCCATAGTTTTTGTGATCTTATATTATTACTTCAATACAAATTTCATTATAAGGATCTGAATCGCAGCAAAGAATCTGGAAGAAGTTCACCAAAGTACACAAGAGGGCTGACTTGAATTATGAAACGGCCTCACTTGATAAAAGATTGCCCAAGTAAACAAACAGAGCGGAGTTCCTTTTCAAATGAAAAGTCACTTTGTCTCCATGGAATAATATATTCATTTGTTCAGTGTTTTACATGTATAAATAAAGTAAATTATACTTACATTTTTTCCTGGAATATTTTTTTCTTAATACTGTATATTGGAGACAAATTTAATTTAAATTTGAAGAGGATTAAGGTTTATCAGTGTTGAACAGTCTTTTATGTAAAAAAAAAAAGTTGAACTTTGCAAAAATGAATTAGTCTCTAATTAAAAAAAAAAAAAAAAAAAAAAAAAGCAATGCTCCTTGCCAGAAGAATGGTTAACAGATGAACTTTTGGGCAACTGGATATGGTATATGTGTCCCAGACATCTTGTTTCAAGTCGATTTTACCTTAAAATTATTGAGACATATGGTAAGTGCATTGGCTTTTAAAGTATAACTTGGAGTTAAGTGTATCTTTGCCAGATGGATAGCACTAGTTTCTCAATATGATTCATGAAAACATTTGTTTTATAGATATTTATCTTAGAATTTGTGAGAAAAGTGATCATCTGATTGTAACAATTTCATACATCATAAACTGCTTCACTGTGTATCATCAAAGTTCACTTCAGAAAAAACATTCAGAGACCATATATACGTATATGTATAAATATATCCACACACATGCAAACATACATACATAAATATATGTACATATGGTCTGTGAATATATGTGTGTATTATGTGTATTCCTTGGTGCTGCCACTTCAGTTACAATCATTATTATAATCAGTAACAATGTTAAGTTTTCTGTACTTTATTTTTGGAAATGAGACTCATCATTAAAATAAGAAGATTCATCCATGCTAAATAAATCAAACTTCCCCTTTCACAAATGAAGACAGAATTAGTGTTGCAGTTAGCAAAAGAAAATAAAGACCTCGGAAAGATACCACCTGGTCCCTTGGACTTGGGAAGCACCACATTCCAGGTTCCAGCGTCTGGTCTTGAGATTCGCAAGTCTAGAAACACTAGTTGCCTAATACTAACCAGACTCATGAAAGAATGTAAATTGTGAAGGCTGTTCACCACTATCCCTATACCTGCCATGGTGTCTGCACATACTGGATACTCAATCAATGTTAGATGCACAAATGAAACATACAAAGACAAAAAGAAAGTGTATTGATTTATAACAGGAGACATTCCTGTCCTATTCCCCCAAATTCCCATGTCCACTATTCAGTTTCTGGAAGACCAAGACTTCCATTTCCAGCCAAGATAGAGTAACAGAGACCAGATTTTACTCTCCTGCCTGAAACAGCAACAATAAAAATGAACAAAATATATGAAACCACAATTTTCAAGACACTGGACATCAGACAAGGAAGGACAGAGATGGGAAACAAATGAGATGAGCTCCACGGTTTGCCCCAGCTTACCTCCTTAAGAGGTTTGCCAGACCGAGGTCACGCAGAGGAGATGTAAGGAGAGCTCAGTGTACTCCCTGGGATGAGATGCAGCTGACGGGCTGGAGAGGGCAAAGCAGCTAGAGTTCACAGGACAGGTTATCAGAAAAAGAGAGAGCTAGAGAGAGAGAGAGAGAGCTCCTAAGGTCTGCAGAGGGACCCTGTAGATATTCAGGTGAGAACCAATAAGTACATGCATGTAAGGAAACTAGCAAGGCTGGGGGAAGAGCTGTACAGAGCATTAGGGGACACAGTGATTGGCAAGCACACAGGGCCAGGAATAGTACCTGTTCCCACCAGCCAAACTGAAGGGCCTCCAAATGCACAGGGCCTGAAGAGGAGTACTCAGAAGGGGTTTGCCTCCATAGCGGGGAATAACTAGCCCTACTCTGAGCTCTGCTTAGGTCGTTAAAAGCAAGATACAAGTGGATCAGACTGTTTCCACATAACTGAACTGCATCCCTGAACAGAATACCTGAGAGGTCGGGTTAGTCATCAGACTGCTTAGGGAGCATGAGTGAAAGCAAAGGGAAATGTGCTGGAGGGCTCTGTCGCCCAGGCAAACGGTACTGACCTACCCTGCCAAACCACAACTTGACACTACTCCGGAGACTGTGTGGCTTGTGCTCCAGGCACAGCCCCTCTCCCAAGGTGAGACTACCAACTTCTAGATTCCAGTACATAGGTTATATATGACATAATTCATTTGGATTCCAGATTTTATATTTGGGATTCCCTAAAACTTGATTGAATATGAATGTTTTCAAAACTCTTTAGTCACACATCAGTATGACTTTGGGGAGGTAGCTTTATTACATGTTGACGCTCCAAATTGTGTCCTTAGAAAGTAACCTCATATCTCACATGATAGGGTACTTTTATCACCTCTATGCGTTGATCGATATTGTGGATGAGAAATTACTGAGAAATATCATGAAAGCCATAAAGAAGTAGTGTTGTATAGAGAGAAATTAAAATTGCAGCTAATCTCCTAGTTCCTAAGAATATAGTTCTGGTATAATATCTTCTAAGCTTTGAACATGGGAGACATTCGGTATATATTTGTTGAATGAACGAATGAATATTATTTTAGTAAATATCGGTTTCAGACTATAATAATGACATTTTACTATTACTGAATTTTACTATTAGTGAAACTTCATTTTAAAAGATTTTTAGCTTTCCCTTCCTTAAGATGCTGTCTTATTTATTTGAAGTACCATCTGCTTATTAGACTGTATGATAATATATTGTTCATTACTTTTGGATTCAGTACATTAACAATTCATCTGTGGGGTTTCTTTATTCCCTGGAACCTGAATCATTTTATCCTAGCCATTCATTGAAAGCTTCCAGAAAAGTCTAAGGAGTACCAATCAGCTACTTAGTAGTAGTTTAGTTTTTTTAACAATTTTAGAGATGGGGAGATGAACAGCCTAGAGTTGCCCTAACACATAGACTTGGGATTCCCTGTGAAAATTGCTACAGTGACGGGCCAAGTCCATGTCCCCAGACTTCTCCCTTGGATCCCAATATAGTCCTAATCCTTTGTAACTCAGAAAATCAGAAAGAAAGAGAGAGAGAGAGAGAGAGAGAGAGGGAGGGAGGGAGAGAGAGAGGGAGGGAGGGAGAAGGAAAGGAAAGGAAAGGAAAGGAAAGGAAAGGAAAGGAAAGGAAAGGAAAGGAAGGAAGGAAGGAAGGAAGGAAGAAAGATCAAAACCACATCCTCACAATGGAAGGGAATGAGGTAGTGAGGCCTTTTGTGAGGTCCATCCATCCCAGAACTTCCCTGAACCCAGTGTTCAGTGTTTCCAAATGTAAGTCATGACCCATGAGTCATAAAATCAATTTAGTGGATCACTAGATATAATGGGTCATGACCAGAATTTTTTTTCAGGAAACAGAATAGAAACATAGTACATTACACACAGTGAAGGGGTAAATATTATTTTATAGCAATGTTTTGTTTCAGCTATAAATACAAGTGTGTACTGCATTCATGTGTGTGTGTCTGTGTGTGTGTCTGTGTGTGTGTGTGTGTGTTACATAAATACTTTTTACATGGATTGTGGTCAAAAAAGTTTGAAATCTTCTGCCTTGAGGGACTGTGGGCTTCTAGGGTCAGGGAAGGCAAGAAGACCTCAACAGCAAGAAAATTCTAGGGCAGAGAATCCCAGACTATTAACAATCATGGCTCAGCAGTGAGTAAGCATATACCGTGTTTGAGAGCATGCACAGGCTTGCAGTTATGAGGGAGGAATGTCAGTCCTTCCACTCTCTAGCTGCAGGACATGTTTCTACAAAATGAGAATCGTAGCTGTATTATACCCTGCCTGATGTAGGTGTATGGTTTTGTTGCAGTAGCACATGCAAAGGCCTTAGCATGTTTTCCGACCACAGCAGGCTATCATGGGTGATACAAATAACTAAGGATACTAAGGATCTGTGGCTTCTTTATTTGGTCTAAGTGAAGAAAGAGAATAAAAACTAGGATATTCTGAAAGCCCTCTCCATGCCAGGCATGTCATAAAACCTTAAACTCTGTTATTTTATTTTTTCAATTTTATTTATTTATTTATTTTGAGAAATAGAGAGAGGGAGAGAGAACAGGTGGGGGGGCAGACAGTAGAAGAGACAGAATCCCAAGCAGACTCTACGCATGAGTGCAGAGCCCAATGCGGGGCTTGAACTCAACAAACTGTGAGATCATGACCTGAGCCACGATCAAGAGTCAGATGCTTAACCTACTGCACTACCCAGGCACCCCTTAAATTCTATTATGTAAGGAATACTCTGGAAGCTAAGTTTTGTGTTCTTGAGGGCTAGAAAGGTCCGGTGACTTGCCCATGCTTTTGCAGCTAAGTAGCATAGGCGTGATTCAGTCCCAGGACTGTTCCCATCAAACCCCAGCAAGGTGATTGTCAAAGAATGGTGATGATAATGACCATTAAAAAACAAGGGAAAGAAACTTATCTTTAAAGCCTAAGACAATAACTTTTCCTTCCATGGTTAACGATTTCATCAAAACAGTAATGGCCACTGGTGCTGTTTGTTTGTTTGTTTGTTTTTAACACCAGGATTGGTTCAGGTTGTCACCATCCACTAGAATGTTATGCAAAGATGGCAGAGGCTTCTCTTTATTGCTGCAGGAGGCATCCAATAAATATTTGTTGAATGACTAAGTGAATGAATCCCTAATCTAGAAAAGTTTACATCCATAGTTGAGCTATAGAAGCATGGCACAAAAGTCATTCCTGGGTCTTTAAAAAGATCAAAATCTATCTGGTGATACAATGATTTGGGGGCTGCCCAACCACTCATGGAGCCAAACCTACATGGAACTACCTCCTTCTAACAGAGTACTATTTAACTCCCAATTCCACCTTTTTCCTTCCCCCATTTTATTGAGTTATAAAGTATAGAGTAGAAGACACTTGAGACCATTTCTGGGATCTTAAAAATCAGACACTAGCAGGACCTAAGATTATGCCTTATCAGTAACATAGGCAGCTACCTGACAGAGCACCCAAGAGCAAAACATGGTCAAGCAGAGGCATTGCCCAAAATGCAAAGTATAGAAAGAGAGGAGAGGAGGGGCGCCTGGGTGGCTCAGTCGGTTAAGCGTCTGCCTTCGGCTCAGGTGATGATCTCATGGTTCGTGGGTTCGAGTCTCGCCGTCGGGCTCTGTGCTGACAGCTAGCTCAGAGCCTGGAGCCTGCTTCTGATTCTCTGTCTCCTCTCTCTGACCCTCCTCTAATCACACTGTCTCTCTCTCTCTCAAAAAATAATAATAATAAAATAAAATAAATAAATAAACATTTTAAAATTTAAAAAAAAGAGAGGAGAGGAATGTATAGGGGGCACATTGTATGAGGTCTGATCAGATTTGCCTCCATAGAAATTTATTTGCAGAGAAAATTCTGTTACTTGTTACCTAATGAAGGAACATACAAAATCTTCATCATCATTGAAGTTTAAAGGAAGGAACAAGCAGTTCTTTTCCTTCATTCATGTTGAAGACCATCTTGTTTTAAGTCAGATGGACAAGATGGCCTCACTGGGGCTTCTTCTGTTTTACCATGCCATCTTCTTCATCAGTGAGTGTTTAGAGATTCCATGAATCAATGGAGATGCACAACATGATAGCTGCAAGTTAAAGATAAGAAGTGGATGTCTTTCACAAGTGGGCTAGAAAAGTGGGCATTCACTGGGAAAGCAGTTCAGAGAGAAAACATAGGAGACCAGAGATTTTAGGTCTCTGTGCCTATAATTCTGAATCACTGCCATAAAAAAGAAGTCTATTGATGTCTGGGGAAACTGAAAATGGTCATGGTAAATGGAAGCTGTATGGTTCATTTACTGCTATAAAGGATTCCATCAGCTCTTCTGTAGGTTATTATCGTTGCATTTGAAAATGTGAATGTTAAAGTAAGATTCAATAGCAACTACCCGAGACCAGATTAAAAACTATGTTCGATGGTTTATCATTTTTTAAAATGCTGCTTAATATAATGATTTGCTAAAGAAATTTGAGTCAATTAAAGGGTTTGTTGCAGGAAATTGTTATAAATCTCTGGGTTTGGTTTTATTTCACAGTTTTTCACCTTCGAGCAGTACAAGAAATTGCTAGGATATGTGTCACTGTCACCAGCATTGGTAAGTGAGAGTATTTATTATACTTAAGTGTGTGAGTTATTTCATAAAGCAAAATCTGGAAACAAAAACTCTTTTGATTCCCCAAGCCCAGCTACTAAAATATGTATTTGAGTTATTCAATGTTCAGCTACTTGTTGAAAGCCATCTTCCTAATAACTCACAATTTGGCTATTTTATAGCTCCCAGTGATGAATTTATGATAACAATGATATGTGTGGAAGGACTCATATGAGATATGGTCAAGAATATAAAATAAAGAGTACATTTGTCAAAGATTCTGTTAAAGCCAAAACATGCCTATGTTTACATATATACTGAACATATCTATTTATGCAAAAGTCAGTATTCCTGAAACATTTCCTAACAGGTCACTTTTCCAGCTTTTGCTTAAGCTGTAGTAAATATAGGACTTCAAGTCACCCTGTCGTCAGATGCAGAAGGGCCTTTTGTAGTTGAGAATAGTGATGTTACAATGACACATCTCAGTTGGGGCACGTGGGTGGCTCAGTTGGTTAAGCGTCCAACTCTTGGTTTCATCTCAGGACATGATCTCATGGTTCGTGGGATCAATCCCCAAGTTAGGCTCTGTGCTGACAGCGTGGAGCCTGCTTGAGATTCTCTCTCTGCCCAACCTCTCCCCCACCCCCGCCCATGCATGTCTTCTCTCTCTCTCTCAAAATAAAAAAAATAATAAAAAAATAAAAAACTTAGAGAAAACAGTGACACATCTCAGCTATTACAAGAAAATCATTTGGTGATTTGAACATTTCTCAATGCCACTCCTCTCCTTCTTGGTGACTTTGCTGCTTTTCACAAGACAGATTATATTTACCAAATGGGTTTTACAAGCATGTGTGCAACGAGAGCCCAAGAGAGAGAAAATGCACCATTTTTCTCCCTCCAATTCTGGAAAACAAAGCAAAACAAAATATGCATTGGCCCTCCAATTGACAGTGTACCTTCCAGCCCTGGAAAATTCCCCCAGTTCACTTGCTGAAATGTACCTCAAAATTCAACCAGCGAGGCAGTGTTCTGAGCTTCAGCTTTTCAGTTACTTAACTTGTAAAGGTTCACTTCAGAATATTTACCCTGCCAAATAGACTGTCCAAGAAGAAGTATCTTTATTTTTAAAACCATACATGACCTTTTCTAGGAAGGATCCTGTGAGGAAACTTCATGTCCAGCCTCCTGCCTAGACAAGGTGGCTGTGAGGTAGCCTCAAATGGAAGAAGTGGCAGAATGAATCCTAATATTAGCTAAGATTTTTTTAATGCCTTAGTGTCTTCTCTTAATGTCACTCTGAACTTTGAAAACATCTTGGTAAAGAGAGGATTAAAAACTTCCTAGCAAAAGACAATAAAATATGGTGTCCAGAGGGCCAGCTGGCTGTTCCTGTGTCGAGCATTGGTACCATGCAAGGGATGGCAGTTCTCTTGACTCTTGAGAATTAAAACAAAAAAGCATTTGGCCACTCGAGCTACTATAACTGAATGCATGCAAACTGTAGGCAGTTTTTCTCTTTCCTTGAACTCATTTATTCCAGCTTCTTTTTGATACAGCTAGACACTTAAACAGCCCTTAAATGTCCCCTGGTTCTCTCACATGAAAAGATTAGGGGACTGGGAACCCAAGTATTACCTCTTGTCTCTGGAATAATCTAAGTAACATGATCTGCTGATAGCAGATCAATTCTTTTGACAAGGGACCGCTGAACACTAGTCCTGAAAGCAAATGTAACTGAGTTTTATAGAAGAACAAAAAAGTGAGTTACTTGGAAGGTTGCATATAGTAAGTAATAAAAACCTGAACATCTGGATTTTAGCTTTCCTAGTCAGAAGAGTTTGGGACTAGTATTTGTGTGTGTGTGTGTGTGTGACACACACACATGTTTTGGCTTCTATGATGAAAGTCTGAGATAAATGAATAAAATATCTGGTCTATTACCCTATACAAATATGTTTAAAATCATTATGAAGGGCCATGAAAGGAAAACGTCATTATTTATTCCCTCTCTCCTTGAATCTGTGTACTATCCCATTCTTCCTCTGCATTTTTATGTGCAACAGGACAATGACTTTTGTATAGCACTTTACAAAGGGCTTCACACATTGTTTTGATCCTCATAATTCCCTTATGAGGTAATGAGATTAGATATCACTGTCCCCATTTTGCAGATGAGAAAACCGTGGCTTACGAAAGGTTCAGTGATGTAGAGACAGGGCTGCAGCTAGCACATACGGTGTCTTTGTGTGAGTTGTGAAAAGGTACCCTTTCTCCTGTGAGATGCCTCTCCAGAGCTCCAGCTTGGCAAGTGGGGTGCAGGCTGGATTTCAGACACACACACACACACACACACCTTTTTCTGCACACTACAGCTCTGGTCATACAGCCAATCAGTGGCAGGACCAGGACCTAAACCCAGACCTCCTGGCTCTAGATCCTCCCTTGTTCTGTCTTGCCTTTTCTTCCAAGGTTATGTAATATTTCTGTCTCTTTTCTCTTTTGGTCTCCCATTTGAAGAAATTAGAGACTCCTGGTAAGAGTTATCTGTTCTTTGCTCTTCATTGGCTTTTTTTTTTTTTTCTTCTTTTGGTTGTATATACTATTACCTCTTCTCCTTGGAATTAGAGCTTCAGCACTAAAGGTTTTTTCAGCATCTGTTTTGGAGATTTGAGGCTTTATTTCATTTTGTTTTTCTGGGGTGTGTGTGTATTTATTGTTCTGTTTTTTTTTTTAAATATTTTATTTTTGAGAGAGACAGTACAAGTAGGGGAGGGACCGACAGAGAGGGAGACACAGAATCTGAAACAAGCTTCAGGCTCCAAGCTGTCAGCACAGAACTTGATGCGGGACTCGAGCTCACCGGCCTTGAGATCATGACCTGAGCCGAAGTAGGACGCTTAACCCCTGAGCCACCCAGGTGCCCCTGTTCTGGTTATTTTTGATACAGATTTTCTGAAAAACCCTTAAGCATTTGACTTGGAGGAAAATTCTAGAAAGTTCTTTTTTTTTTTTTTGCAGAAATTCTTAATTAAGAGCAAGTAAGAACCTGACATCATCCTTTGATAGATGTTCTAGATTTTAGATGAGCCTTAGAACAACCTAGCCATTTCTGATCTCTTTTCCTCTTCAGCTTCTATGGCTAGAAGAATAGGGCAGTTGTCAGATTTTTTTTTAAACAGGGAAAGGATGAATAAAAATAATTTTTTGTTTGTTAATTATCTAGAATAGTGACTCCAACAACAGGGCTATTTAAATGTTTTCAGCTGCACTGTTTGGTCACCTGAAACTTAGTTTTTTATAAACATTTTATTTTTGCTTCTGCTCCTTGAATTTTTTTAGATGCTCAATAACGATTTAAGTTAGCTGTTTTAAAAATGAAGCTCTCTTCTTACAGGCCAAACTCTCTTTTAATTTTTACATGTGCAGATGTTTTAGTATCCACCTTAAATCACTAAAACAACCTTTCTTTTCATTAAAGGAAAAAGTCATTGTTGATGGGGTTTTGACATTTTATTTTGAATTGTTAGGATGTGGTTTGTGGCTTCTGTAATTTCTTCTTCATGAATTGTCAGCATCTAATCAAGAACTAAAGCTGTTTAGTAATGGCATATGATGCATTTATGTAAGTTTCTCCATTCTCAACATAACATTCAGCTGCAGAGTGTAACAAATAGGATGTTTAGCCCAGTACACATAACTTGTTTTAAAATATTGATTGATTTAATTTTTTCTAGACATTTGCCATTGCTGGATTAGGATCTGGACTAACAGAAGCTATCGTGGTTAACCCTTTTGAGGTAGTAAAAGTTGGCTTGCAAGCGAATCGGAACAAATTTACAGAGGTAATAATTTAATGTTTTCCTATTGGTGAGGGAATATAAAATATTTTATATATATATATACATATATATATTGTGTGTGTGTATATATACATATACCTACATATGTATATATAGGCCCAGCTCTTATTCACTTGTTAAAGCTGTAGCAAATTATTGTTAAGGAAATAGCATAAGAAAAAGTCAAATTTCTTCCACAAGGAAAGTGTTAACAAAAATATACTAAAGTCTGACAGGCAAACACATGTTTACCTGTTTTTATTTTAGATTTGTAATGTAATCTATAGTGACTTATTTGGAAATGTTTTCCCTACTTTTGGCAAAACTTCTATTTCACATTATACTGGAAAGGATTGAAGCAAACACCACTGAAGTGAGAATATTGTGCCTTTAAAAAAATTATGAAGTCATTTTTTAAAATTACCTCACCCCTTTCTCTACTCCACCCACCGCCCTCCCCCAAAGATTCTGATAATCTGTCAAGCTTGTCTTTTCGTTTAATCCGAATGAGCAAGTTACTAAGCCTGTATAGACATCACCCCTTGGACAATGATGAGTCCTGACATTTAATCACTGGTACATGATGTTCCATGAAGACAGCTTCCCTTGGTGTGTGCTGCCTTCACTTCCTCCCAGTTGCCTAATAATTCCCTTAAAACCCCCCAGTCCAACTGTTCTTCTTTTATTCTTTTGGGTGCCAAGCACAGGGTAGGGAGAAAAGAAGGAGATTGGCATTCCAGGTCTTTCCTTAGCATTTTAATTTAGTTCCACAACTGGGTAGCATGTGGTATAAATTGCCTCGGTGTATCTGCTGACCTGAAGTTCTCTGTAGAATAGTTCCCTTGCCTACTACTTAAGCAGCTGCTAATGGGTGGAGACCCCCCTCCCTCCCACCCTGCTTCCTGCCTGCTGACATGGCCTGAGAGCTCCCTGGCAGCTTCTTAAGCAGGGGTGTGGGAAAGGAGAAGGGGGCCCTGCTCACCTGTAGCTGCCAACCCAAGGGGGACAGGGTTGGGCTCCTTCAGCAGATGCTCTCCACTCAGATGAAATCAATCCTAATTAAAGTTTCAAAAAGTTGCCTTAATTACAGTGATATACAGAGCACTTTGGAAAAGACTGAAAATTCTTGTATTGCCCTGGTCTTTGTTTCTGCTTTGTTTTCTGTTTCCTTGAATGAAGGGAAAAGGTGGTGAGAAATAGGAAGAGAAGAGAAGAAACGCTTTTCCAGTGTCCTATCGAAATGGAGCAGCCCCCATGAAATCTGTTCAAGGAAATTTTGATCTGTTAGATGAGGAGAATTACCGATTAGAAGAAAATTTTGGAGCTCCTCCCCCTGGATGGCCTCATTTTAGTCATTGGGAAGCTCATCAGGGCAGCAAGAGGGGATAAAGGAAAGCAGGTATTCTACCGAGGTCCTTTATCAAGGCAGCATGTAACCAGAGGAACGGAAATGGGACAGAGCACCAAGGAGCACTCATGGGAATGAAAATGTTGAGTTATCACAGCACCTCTGCTCATGCCTAATGTTCTTTTTCTCTCCTCTGCCCTAAAGGAGGTTCTACTCTGAGGCCAAGTAATAATTGCTAATGTGTTACATGTGCTAAGGCCTTGCTAAAACACGGTAAACACCCTTCCAGCCTAACACAAGAATGCTGCGTGTGTACGTGTTCCCAGTTCACTTACAAGAGTGCGGTTTGTGTCAGTGGTTTATGTCTACGCAGGCAGGCATTTTTTAAGTGGGGGAGACAGGAACCTGTTTGGGGTCATTTCCTTTGCAGAATCCTCCAAACTGGATTCACTTTTCGATCTTTGCTTAGACCAAACAAAAATGTTAGGTACACTGTAACCTTCAACTAGTCCAAGGTGGTGACCCATGTCAGCATTTATTTCCAGCAACTATCAGGATTCAGTAGCTGAACTGAGGTGACACTTTGTAGACAATATTGATCAAATGGAAAAGTAGTAGTACCGAGTCACTCAGCATAAAGTAATGGGACTACACTTTCTGGGGAAAAAAATCTGAGAGGAAGAGATGACAAGATAAGAATTATAAATTTGGATCTAGTTATTTAAAAATAACTGCTTGTCATTTTTGGCAAATGTAGTTATTTCCTATGTCTTTGTCTGGGACCCACTAGCTCCAAAGCCTTCCTCCATTGACTAGCACTTTCTTTTATCCTGAAAGGAGATACCCTTTTCTTAATCTGTGTCTGAGTTGACTTAATCCAGTCATCAGGTGTGCCCACTTCAGCATTCGTATGGTTAGGAATTATTATTACTTTCTTCACTTTGTGGCTTTGTGCATTGTCAAGAAGTGTGTATGTTGGAGGTGGTAGGTTGGGTGGGGAAGAGAGTGGGAGGGAAAAAGGAATTAATGCTCAATGCATTTAAAGATTATGCTCTTTTAAAAAAAAAGTTTTAGCCCAAGTATAAAAGTAATGCACACAAAAACTATGTATTTCTATATGTAAGTATGTAAACCTACTAAAAGTGATCTAGACTACAGAGCAGTTCTGGCCAATAGAAATATAATGTAAGCCACTAGTACCTATATTTTAAAAGCCCAAAAGGGGCGCTTGGGTGGCTCAGTCAGTTAAGGGTCCAACTTTGGCTCAGGTAATGATCTCACAGTTTGTGGGTTCAAGCCCCACTTGGGGCTCTGTGCTAACAGCCCAGAGCCTGGAGCTGCTTCAGATTCTGTGTCTCCCTCTCTCTGTGGCCCTCCCCTACATATGCTGTGTTTCTGTCTCAAAAATAAACATAAAAAAATTTTTAATAAAAGCCCAAAAGACACATGAAATTTAATACTATATTTATTTTGATTTAACCCAGTACATCCAAAATATTGTCATTGCAACATGTGATCAGTATAAAAATTATATGAGATATTTTATGCTCTTTTTCATATTTGGTCTTTAAATCTCATGTGTACTTTATGCTTGCAAGTACATTTCAATTTGAACTAAGACATTTCAAATGTTCAATAGCCACATATGGGTAGTGATTTCTTTATAGGACGGTGCAGGTCTGTCATGCAAACAAATTCATACAACTTACAAATTATGATTACCTCTAGAAAAGAGGTCTAGAATAGGGGAGTGGAAGGGAAGGGTTTTGTGTAGCTGAATGTTTAACATGAGAATGTATTCAGCATTACCTGCGAACATTTAGTTTAAAAAGTAACACTTTCATTGTAGAAAATTTAGACAATACAGAACAGTATGAGGAATTGTATGTAATCCAAAAGAAGCATTCTGTGGTTCTGCCAGAACCAAACGTCCCTTTAGGGAGAAGGTTCTCAGCTGACTTAGGTAGGAATGATTTGCTGGCCCATCTTAAGTCTCAATAATGCATAATTCAGTTTCAATTACCTCATTTGCAATAGCAGAAATCCTTGTTTTCCCCTGCTCTCTAATTTCTTAAAAAATTTTAAACCTTACATGCAGACTATTGAAGGACATATATACACAGAGCTGTCTAAAACAGGACAGCAATTGATGAGCTGGCAAACAGGCCCAGAGTTTGAGAGATGCACCCATCATGCTTCATACCATTTCCTAACATTGTGTCCTTGAGAAAAGTGACATGCCTTTCCTTGAATGGTAAAGTGTTGACAATCAGTCCATCCATCTTACAGTGAGGCATCTCTGTGAAGTGGCTAGAAGCACAAGCTCTGGAGGGCCATCTCTGTTACTATGTGACAGGTTCTTATTTCCCACTCTGACTGTAGCCCAGCTTCCTGTTTCCTTAGGGAAAATAACAGTAACAACCACATTAGATGGTATAATCAGGTTTGAGATGTGTATGCAAAGCAGCCGATACAGTACAGTGATGATTAAATAAGTGTTAGTGTTGTTACATGTTTTTATGAGAATTTAAATGGGATAATATATACACAGATCTTAACACAGAGCCTGGTGCACGGTAGGCAGCCAACAAGTAACATTTCAGGATGCAAGTTGATCTTATAAATGTTTAAGTTTACATAAAGACATTTATCTTAAGCTAGTACCCCAATTAATACTGAGCATCACAGGTGACTGCTGTCATGGGCATGTAAACAGTTTATTGAGCTGAGCGATCCTTTGTTTTCTCCCTCAGCCCACATTAGGCCGCTCTCAGCTGCCAATATGAATTCTTCATCAAGGCTTAAGGGCTGGCAGCCTAGTTATAGTGCCTTTTGACAAAGTCTTCAAACTCAGATGCAGGTCTTCTATCATCAACAGTAGGAGCTGGCTACCAGCTTGCTGTAAATACCTAGCATATAGCAGCAGAAGTTAGAGATTGACACTAAAAACATTTGAAGGCACTTTGGAAAGAATCCCACCACGATCAAGATAGTCTTCCTCTGGGAAAGTTGTACAAAATTCTCGATCAGGCGTTCCTGATCACTTCACGTGGAGGTTGTGAACTAAGCTCATTTCTGGCCTTCTCAGGTAATTATAGCTAGCAGTGTGGTAGAACGCTAAATGGAGGGGCTGCAGGCAGAACGGCCAAATGGCTTACCGGCACCTTTAAGAAGAGCAGAGCAGTCTCCCCAGAGGCTTGTTTTGCGGCTAGATTAACACGTGTTCCGCCTGCCCCCCCAGTAGTGTCAGTCTCTCAGGCAACCTGCCTTCTGTTCCCCCATGCTACCCTCGCGTCTTAGATACGAATCACTCTGGATTCCTACACAATATTTGCAGTATTTGTGGCTTTTCCTATTTCATCAGCCAGAGAAGGTGAGTCAACATGGTCCCTCAAAGATGAAAGTTTCCCAAGAAGTTGCGGCAGGTGAGAGAGGTTCCCGCAGTGGAAGACAGCCTAGGGCAATGGTAGTCAACATTAATCTTAATATTACACTTCATGTCTTGTAGGCAATGATAGGGTGGTAAATACGGAGCACAGGGACTGCCGTGGTCTCAGGGTACACAGAGCAAGGTCTAGAAGGAGGTTGTGGGAAGTAGGCAGATATCCCTGTTGGTCCTGGGGGAAGGGCAGAGCTGGTAAACGGCCCGAATGGG